GTAACCCATATCTTTTGTGAGTTAGTTATTTTGTCATTGTGTACTTGGTATTTCACATTCCGTTGTTTGGATAACAGTCTGGGCATTAAGCGTGGCTGTAATTCCTCTTCTTAATGGTATTCCAGTTCCCATGACTCTTGCTTAGTTTCACCTAATCCTATCTCAAACAATGTCTTTATGTGCCAAGAAAGACCTGAGCTGAGCTGAGGACTGAACCAATGCTGAATATGACTTTGAAGAAGACCAGATTATAATAATTCCTTGTGTCATCTGATCACTAGGTTGTACAACTTTGTTCCAAAAAGGCCATGTTCAGCATCGCAACTCAAGCATTCTATCTATGTTTCAACTCCTTTTTTCTTTGACAGGGAGGTAAAAATGACTGTACATAATTTACTGTAAGTCTCTTGGTCGCAATGCAATATTCTTTGTCGAACTGGGTCTGTATGAGTCATTTATTGAGAAGCAAAATAGAACTACTGACAAAGTTTCATTACTTCTGACAAAAAGTGACTCAAGGCTACTCCCCATCTTGTTTCAGGGTACTCCACACGCTACTCATTGGGTCCTTCAGGCTGACATGATGTTTATGAATTCGTTCATCTTACAAAAAAATACTAAATGCTATTCTGTTCAACTGTTAAATCCTAGAATACTACATAAGTAGTAGTGGTCTTGGCCATAGCTGCCCATTCCGGAGTCCGTGTAAGTCATGCAGGGAGGTGGGAAGTTCACCTTGTCATGCAACAGGGAGGTTTCTGAACCCCATCCTGGCCAGCCCCGAAAGGCTGCACTTGGACCAGGGGCAGCAGTGGGGAGCAGGCTGTAGGAAGGGTCAGTTGCCCAGGCAGGACAGGCATGCTTCAGCTGTGGGATACTTGTGCTTAAACCACTAATTGTGTCTCATGCAACCGATCCACAGTGTATCCACAGTTAATACTCCCCAGAATACCACCCCTTCATTTACCCCTTACCACTTACAATAGCTTTCTAGCTCAGAATTGCAGGATACTGCAAGTGTGGTTTGAGTTTGTTTATTAGAAGCAAAAAGGCTGTTTGGCTCTTTAGATAAACTGGAAAAAAACAGTGACCAAAAATTGCTTTTACATAGAAATTAAATACGGGGTAAGCAGCATTCAACTGTAGCACTGTATTTTGAGGAGCGGGAAGTGTGGACTGGAGCAGAGATTCAGAGCAGTGCCTAGGGGAAAGCTGCTGTATCTGATACAGATATAAATATGTACATGAAATCAGCAGTGCTTCATTTAAGAATCAAGTCTGCATTTTTGAGTGATGCAGTGAATTTTTCACTGTAAAAGAAAAACACTCTACCTATCCAAGATATTCACGTGTACACACTCAGAACAGCCAACTAAAATAGAAAACGTTTAGCTGCCACAAATAGGTACATAATGGGAAGTTCTTAATTAACATCAGATTATCTTAAAGTAATAATGAATGTCTTGTTTATTTTTTTATGTATTGGAATGGAAGGGATATATTCTGAAGGCTATTAAGAGAAAGATGGCGCTTGCCTGATTCCTAAGGTAATGTTCTCTTTTGCTGGGGTGATGTGGGTGGCTGATTGAAGTACATGAGCATTCCCACTAGAGGGGGGTCCACTCAGCCTAGGTTGTAATGCATTTTTTATTTTTATTTTTTTTCATAAGTTCAGCATGAGGGGAACCTCATGTTGTCCCACATATTTCAGTCCTTTATGTTGTGTATCTAATGGTGTCAGCAGTTGTCTCTTACTTAGCTTAACTGTCTTTTATACAAGGAGGGGAAAATTCAAATGAATGGACTAATGTACTAGTGCACTGTTAAACACAGTAGTAACAAAGAATACAGAGAATGTTTCATTGTATCATCTGCAAAGTGAGGACAGTTATTTATCACAGAAGTGGTGTGATCATTCTTGGAAAAGTAGAAGCAGCTTTATCAGACCTGTTCAATAACATTTTTAATTAGAATTGTTATCTATGTTCACTCCAACCCATTTTACTGTCTCTGTGAGCCTTACATTTCTAAGCATAAAAGAAAATATTTCTATATGCGAAAGAGACTCAGAGTATGTTAAAATACCTGAAACTTCTGTTCTACTCTTTGATGTCACAGTTCGTTCTTCCTCTCAATTTCTTGGTGAAATGAAGGATTGGGTTTTGCACATGTGTTGGTCATTTTTTTGATCATGTCAATTAATGTGTTTTGGAGCTGTGGCAGTTGTGAGCATTCTCTTGGACCTGAGCAGGAGCTTCCTTATCAGAGCCCAAGTGTTGACAATATGCTTGTGCTCTGCAGTGAGGGTCCTGGCGTGTGAGGTGGCCTCTCTGCAGGTGAGGAGAGTGCAGAGTCCAAACTAAAACTTTGCCTGAACTCTGCAGAGTTGATGCACGGTTTCCATGCTATCCCATCCATGTCATGCTTCTGTGGGGCAGGGGATAGGCAGCCCTGGACAGGCTGTCCACCCAGTTGGGACCCTTGGGAAGGAGAGGGAGGAGGAAAGGACAGCAGGGCAAGGGAGACAGAGTGTACTGGGGCTGGCAAGGCATCAGCAACTCTGGTAGATTCAAGGAGGAAGTCAGAGAAGGATGCTGTGGCACAAAGAAGGCTCCATTTTTTCCCTAATGAATCTCCACAATAGAAATGTAGCACAGTAATAAGCATCCACTCTCTACAGCTACATGAAAGGTAGAACAACAGAGGGTGTAGCCAGGTGGAGGTCAGCCTCTTCTCCCAGTCAACAAGTGACAGGGACAGAAGGATATAGCCTCAAGCTCTGCCAGGGAAGTTCAAGTTGGACATCATGAAGAATTTCTTCACTCAAAGGGTGGTCAGGTATTGGAATGGGCTGCTCAGGGAGGTGGTGGAATCACCATTCCTGGAAGTATTCAAGAAACAACTGGACATGGCACTTGGTTCTGTGGTCTGGTTGACATGGTTGTTAGCCATCAAAGGTTGGACTTGATGATCTTGGAGATCTTTTCCAGCCTTTATGATTCTATGATTAATGGGACTGGAGATACAATTTGTGATATGTGACTCTGTAATACTGGATCGAGAAAACTGAGCGAGTTTGGAAAAGTTTTGGGGTCTGTCTAGTGGTGGTAGCTGGAATTTGTACCAAAACAGTAAGCCTAGTGAAAATGAGCATTCACACTTCAGATGTGTAGCACATTAACCCTAACCAAGATGCTTCTGATAGTGGAATGACTTTTTTTCAGAAACCACCTGAGCATCTGCATAGGGCAGTGTATTGTGACAAGCAATCATACAGTTATTTCCAATCCAATGGTTGATTATTCTTTTTGGCCCTGGGCAAGTCACTTAACCCTCTGTCTGTTTCTTCATCTGTAAAATATATTATGGATATTTATCAGTCTCACCAGGACTGATTGTTTAATATTTATAAAGTGCCTAAAGGATTAGAAGCTTAATATAAGGAGCTAATATGTATCATATCATTTTAGATTGATTTTATTTACTTGGATTTTTTTTCCTTCCTCCTATTGAATGAGATGCTATTTTGTAGCCTCTTACTGCCATTCCTCATTAGCTGGACAGGTCACAATTGGCTAACTCCAGGTTCAGTTTCTTCATTTATTCCTAGCTCCTATGAATGCTTTATCTCCCTCCTGCTTTTTTTTTTTTTCTCCTTCCTTTTTAAATTTAGAGATGAAGAAATACCATATGTTGCTAGATCATGACATAAATATATTTAAGTGCTGCCATCATTGTTAGTTTATCAGCCTTTCCATTATAAACCCTCTTGTTCAGGGGTTTATAACTCTGGCATTATAACATGCTTCAGGGTGAAACTTCACATTCATTTTTTTTCCCCTTTTGATTCGCTTTAAATCCTTCACTCTTCTTAAGTTAAACCGGAGATTAGATACATTAGTTATAGTTATACTAGTTGTATAAATTATAATGCAGCAGTAGGCATTCTAAATAGGATGTAAATCAGAGAAATAGAGAATTTTCTAGTTGTTAAACTGTGAGCCTGAGAGTAGAGATCTGGGATTCTTTCCATGAGTGTGTCCCTGGTTTGGCACATAACTACTAAAAAATGGTTTAACCTTTTTCTGCCTGACTCTTCTCTCTGTATATTGGGATGATGACATTTCTGACTTCACTGGTGTATTGGGAAGCTTAATTAATTAGAATTCATAAAAGACCAAGATTCTCAGGTGAAAGGCGCCAAAGTGTGAAGTATTTTTAAGGAGTCTAATGAAAAATCGGTGCACCTGCTTTCCTATGTCTGTTCCTGGTGTCACAGATCAGTGCCTATCAACTCTGGAGCTGTACAGTGTGTGGCAGCCAGCAAGGGTTTTGATCTGGAGTGCCACTCAATGACCTGGCAGCTTGCTTTTCTCAGGCTTTCACACATTCACTGTATCTCTCAGCCAGTTGTTTGCAGCCTTTACCTGGGGAGCTTGTGTTCCCTGAATTCTAGTTTTCAAACGGTTCTCTAGCGCAAGACAGGATAGGAGCCTACAACCATGACCTTGGCTTCAGAGTTTCCCTTTGGGTGCTGTTCCACTTGGTGCTGGTGCAGAAGTACCCAGTCTGCTTAGAAGGTAAACAGAAGGAGAAGAGGTCAGCTGCTTCCAGCTTTTTTTTTGCAGGGACTTAACATGGCAGATCATTCTGGTTGTGCTTAGGCAGCTTTTTGGTGTAGTCAAAACACTGTATGGAGAAAATTGTTTCAGCTGTAGTACAGTAAATTCTGGGATGCTGACAGGTACTCTTTATGTCATTCAGGTGGAGAAGCTCTGTTTGTATCATGAGGGATGCTCTCCAAGTTTCCTCACTTGAGGATGTCTATTGTCAGCTGTTAGTTTTGCATACCCTATCATGTGCAGGTTTCCTAGGCTTGATCCAGACTGGCACCTTCATTTACAGATCTCTTCTTTGCCTGGGCTGTGGTGCTGTGCTCAGGAGAGAGAGGTTCTTGGTGGTGGCTAAATTTGAAATTATCTTTCTCCTTATAATTTCAGGTTGAAGTCTTGGCCTCCGAGGATGCTACATTTGGACACAAGGTGTGTAGTTTGGTGCAGTTTTGTTATATAGGTCCCAACAATATGAACTGTTGACAATTTTCAACCTGAGAATTGAGGATCCTGTGACTTGCATCCATCAATTCAGAAACTTTACCTTGTGTGTGGTAATCTGAGAATGGCACACAGGCTGTCTTAATCCTTGTCTTGGTATAAAACCTGAGCAAGTTTTACTTGCAGAAACCCACATGGAAACATGCAAGGTCATCTTAGCAGTAGTTCTTAAGATTGGACTTGCCCAAATGCTGAATTTGTTGTTGATTTGCAACTAAGAAATTTTACTTCTTGTCTGCTTGGCAGTCTGCTGAGTAAGCCACTTTCTTCAGGTCCTTTTCCACAAAGCATCTTGAGTAGAAAGTAATTAATTGAACAGCTGCATCACCCTGTGTTCAATTGTAGATCAGCCTGTGGGAGGCAACAGTGTGTGTTGGAGACAACTTCAGATCTGCCCATCTACATGGATCCTACTCAGTGCTCAAGCTTCTTTGGCCAGTGAGCGTTGTGGTGATGACCACTGTTTAAACTGAGCACTAATAGCAGATGATTCTAATCAGGGCAGATTGCATGTAGGCTATATGCAGTTAGCCAGGAAGAGAGTGGATGGGGAAGGGAAAAAGGAGACTGTAGGAGCAGTAGGCTAAATCATGACAATGCAGAGTTTCCTGCTGCTGAAGGCCTATATACTGTGATGCTACTGCAGGTGAAAAAATAGCAGCGCTGTTACTATTAAGGTAAAAAGGAAAAGCAAGGAAATATTAAATAAGTTATCCAGGTTTATTTGGAATACAATAAGCAGAATTAACCAGCAGGAAAAAAAAAAAGCTTTAAAAGTACATAAATATTCATGATGCCAGAATCTGCATTATGTCTATATTGTATATTTTTATGTTGATATGTGATAAGTGATTTCAATAAATTATTAGAAAACAAACAGAGCTACTCTGGTATTATTTGAAGTATATAATGTACGGTAGTCTGCAGTATTTTCTGATTTTTTATTTAATACCAGCAAGCATACAGAATATTCATTGAATATTTAATAAACCTGGAGGGTCAGCTCTTGTGAGCTCATCTCCATAATCCTTCAGACTAGGTGGGTAAATAGAAATATTGCTGATGATTATTGTCGCCAGTCACTCTTGGAGCTAAAAAAAAGCACTGTGGAGGCGGCTTCTAAGTTTTTTTCATGGCTAGATTTACAAGGGGTGTTTATGTCTTGTCATTTCTGATGGACATCCTTTGAAACTCCTTTTTATTACAAAAACTTCTAAGAGTTTTCTGTTGCTAAGCTTCAATTTTACAAAACTGAACCAGTACTGTTGCCAGCTCTGAACATAGTGTCCAGAGTCCCAAGCATCTTTTGTCCTAATATTAATCTTCAGAACCATCAGGATCTTTTACACTCTCTTATGATAGTAGGTCTATGATATATAGTGAACTGTGTATGTCTAGGAATGTCATCTGCTTTTTAACAATTAAGAAGAAAGCTAAATACATCATCCAAAACTTGTTAATTCCAGAACTTATTTTTGCTGTCTATTTAGAGATGCTGCAGAAGCACTTTCTTGCCTTCTCTCCTTTAAGAGATGCTTTCTTTACTGTCTGTCTCAATGACAAATAAATGCTAGTGTCTCTGTTACATTAACAGATGAGTTGGCATGCCAGCAGAGAATGTGTATAAGCAAAATTTTTAAAATGAAAAATAGTACATTTTATAAATTAGAAAGTTAGTTGAATACCAGATAACACAGTTGAGAAGGATGTAAGGTTAAGGATTTGCATCATGCAATACTTTCCTTGGTACCTGCTTTTAAGCCTGAATTTCCCTTCAGGGCTATTGTAGATGGTTGAGGGGAGCTATCTTTTTCAGGTTTGGGTGTAGCATATGTCTCAGCTTGAAACATTGTAGGGCCCCTCTGTATGCAAGAGCAGAAGCATAGTTTGCTGCAGGGGATGACTCTTCTTTTGACTGCATCCATTCCACCTATCCTTAGATGCCACTTAGTTTTAGGCTGTTGACAGGCTGTGTTGCCTGTAGATACATACAAGAATAGTGTCTTTTTAAAAAGGATATTTGTAGACTACTGAAAGAATGTACGGTGTCATTTGTTATTCTTAAATTCTCTGTGATTTCAGTCTCATGGTAAATATGCATACTGGCAGCAAATGGGGCTGTTTCCCAGGAAAAGGTTCTGAATGAGATGTCAGAACATTGTTCAGCTTCACTGTAGTTATCGTTGGCAAAGTGAAGATCTGGCTGATGTAGTGTGCCTCTTGAATGGTTGAATCTTGGATGATGATCATCATCCTCGTGTTTGCAGAAATCAGCTACGGGATGCTTTTGATGCATGTTATGTGTATTGATTTAGACAAAATAATTGTTATTTTAGAAAATAAAATGAAAACAAAAGAAATTGTGTCAAACTGTCAAAATACCCAGGGAAAACGCACCTTGAAGTACCAAATCCTATCTTTACTCCTTAAGCATGGAACAGATGCAAATTGCAAACCATTAATAGTAGTCCTTAAAAATGTTTCTTTCTCCTCAAATTTTTAATAATTAAACAGTCTTCCCCAAACAAATGTAGGACATAAGACATTTATTAGAGTAAAAATTGCATTTTAATATTAATTTCTTATTTTCATTTTGTACATGAGTGAGACGAATACTGTTTAAAAGGCCATAAAAATCTAAGCACATCTTCAATCAGTTTTTCAAAAAGTTGTAATTTGATGAGTATAAATATGTACAGATTTGATTGCATTGCTGTCCAAAGCTTTCTTTTGGTTGAATAGAAGGAAGTAAGCCCATTCAGCTTTCTGTGCAACTAATTTTACAGAAGGAGGAAGCTGTTGGTGTGCTGTAACAGCTTTTTCAAAGATGGTACACGGGGTGTTCAGTTTAATTTACACATTTATTTGTGTGTGTGCTTGAATGTATGTTTTTAAAGAAAAAAAATCTTCCAGCTTTTAACTGGTCCTTTGTTTCAATACTTGGAAGGGTTGTGATATACACATGGTTACGTATGGAGAGATGGAAGGGGAATGACCATGTTGTGAATCATGAACAGCTGATAGGTGATCTGGGACAGGCTTAGCAGTTATGCCTGGTTTGTTCAAATCCTGCTGAGGATAAACTTACATATATAATAAGTTCCTTCAAAACCATAGTTGTCAAGAAAGTAACGTAGAGTAAGAGTGAATAGATGGAGTGATATCTGCCCAAGTCTGCAGTCAACACACAGGAATGTATTTCAGTGTTGGAAACTCCTTGAGTCACATTAATCTTACTGAAGCCTAATGATGACGTGTAAAATACTAACAGTACCAATTTATTTTGTGTTTATTTTAGCTGAGTAGGAAGTTATATTTTAGCAGATGGGACCAGTGTTCACAGATGGCAGAGAAAATAGGAGGAATACAAAGATGTGAAAAAGAAAGAGGGAAAAAAAAAGGTGCCCAGGGCAGAAGGTAAAATGTTTAACCATTTTGAATGATGCTGATTTAAAGACCAAGGCAATGAACAAATAAAAATAGGAGTGTGGGAGTTTTTTAAATCCTCCTAAGAGATTCAGATGCTCAATTTCCATTAGAACCTTTTTATCCCTGAGGTAGAATTGAAAATCTTAGTCTGAAAGGTTGGTTATTATATAAAGATTTAACCCACATTTTATTGTCGTAGGAGCTGCATGTTGGCATCAGTTGGAATTACGGTGTCAAATGCACTAGCACACGCTTCATGCAGGCTGCAAATGGTGTCTGGCCCTATCTAGAGAATAGGATACCTGACTTTTTATATATCTGTGCTCGGTTTACTCTCCCTCCCTTTCCCTAAGGCTTTTACTGTCAGCATCCACCTGACCCAAATAACGTAGGGTAGGGGAGGCTTCATTCAGTTAAGCCTGGTGAGATCACCTCATGCACGTGTCCCAGCCTGTCTGTGGACCTGTGGAGTGCCATAAGCCGTGTTGGCAGCGCTGGCCACAGAGCCTGCCCTCCGCAGCTAATGCCGAGGTGCAGTGATCCCAGCTTAGTGCTGCATTAATATAAATAAGTTTGTTAATGGCAGTCCAGCAGCTACATGTCAGAAGGCTCACAAGTTTGTGCAACAGGAAAAGAGACACTTCTGTTCCCACAGTGGGGGAGCTCCACCAAGAACAGGACTCTCTTATTTGGTAGTGAGCTTTAATCCTTCCATTGTGTGTCGTTTTAAGCTGTGTTGTGATGTAATTGGCTTAATCATTACTATTATGTTGCTTTGCACAAGTTAAGATTGTAATTTGGCATATGGAAATAAATGGCAACTGGATTAGTGATTTGCAGGTGTCATTTAAAAACAGGGCAGGAAACAAAGCCTTCCATATTTTGCAAGTGGCATGTTTGCTAATGTACAGAAGCAGAATTAAGCACACAACCGCATCTCACGCTGGCTTGAAGTAGGAGCAAGCTTCACCTGTTCTTTCTGGGACTGTGTGCTGCTGGGGTTGGGGAAAAAGAATCTCATTCCTGATGGATGTGTTCACTGTAGGAGTGATTTTATATTTCCTTTGCGGAAGACAAATACAGGAGTAAAGCTTTCTCTTTGATCAAGAAATCAGCATAATGGAGAGACAGCTCTATCAAAGAAATACAGCAAGGGTGGTATTTCTAATGTGGATGTGTCTGTATGGTAGAGCTTCCAGCATTGTTCATGTAACTAGCTGTATTTTTATTTTATGACACAACATAAAGTGATGACCTTGTCTCCATAATTTAGTAACTCTGGAAGTTGTTTAGAGAGTCTATTCCTAAGTCTTTTTAAGTATGTGCTGCTGGATTTCATTTTTAAAATGTTCTTTCTCCAATATAGGGTACATGTTTCTAGGAATCAAATGTGCTTAGGACTAAAATATTTTTCCTCCCAAACATACTACTTTTACTTGAGTTTATTAAACAGCTTTTTGGGTTGTTTTGGTGGGGGAGTGTTGAACAGAGTGGGGAGG